GCCCCCGCTCGGAGGGCAGCAGCGGCTGCCCCTCGCCCCGCTCACCGGGCCGCGAGTGCCTGGAGGCGGCGGTGCCGCGGCCGGGCCTGGATGCGCATCTCCAGCCGGGGCAGGTCTCGGCTCCCTCGCAGTCCCGGACCGTCACCTCCTCCTTCCTCATCAGAGACATCCTGGCCGACTGCAAGCCCCTGGCCGCCTGCGCGCCTTACTCCAGCACAAATGGACCTCACGGCGGGCAGGAGCCGGCGTGCAGGATCCCCACCAAGCCCGGCGAGGATTTTAGGGAGAAAATGGAAAAAAACACCAGCAGCTCCTCCTCGGACTCGGAGTACAAAGGTAAGAGCGGCTGCGCCCCGCTGGGCTGTGCAGGGCGGCCCGGGGGTGTCCCGGGGATCTCGGACCCGCTCAGGGGTCACGGGATCTGTCACCCCCGAAATGACCGAGGGGTCGGCACCAACTTGGGGAAACTTGGGGGTTCGGGGCTCGGTGGGGCTCGGCCCGGTGGAAGGGGTGTCATTAAACGCGCCCGGGGAATGCTCCGAGGCCGCTTTCCGCCGCCACGATCGGGCTGTGCCGTTCTACCCGCGGGGAAAGGAGAAGCGGAGACGAATTTCTGCCTGCGAGGGAAAAAAAACCAACCCAAAAAGACAAAAAAAAAAAAAAAAAAAAAAAAAGACCAAAAAACGAAAAAAATCCAACAAAACAAATAAACCAAACAAACCGAACCAAAACCGTAATAAAATCATCACGGATTTGCCAGGTGTTTCCCCTGCTCCGGTGAGAAACGAGCAAGTCAGTCGGCGGGGTTTGATTCGATTTTTGTTATTTGTATTATTATTTTGGAAATCGTTCAAAACCGAGCATCGCAGACAGGGAGCCCCGGGCCGCATCCACAGCGCCGGTGGGGCAGGGGGCTTCGGCCTCCCGGGCCCCCGCAGCCCCTTCCCGGCCTCTCCCTGCGGCAGTCGGGGTAGGGAGAGGCACAGGAGCAGCACGGGGGGGTTTGGGGTCATTCCTCGCCCCTCGGAGCTGCTTAACCCGGGTGCCTCCTCACATCCCACCCTCACCACCTCCGCAAAAACTTTTCCCAGGGTAAACTGGTCGTCGGCTGTTTGTGGGGGAAACGAGAGGGTATCGGTCCAGCTGGGCGGAGAAAAGGGAGGCGATGGCAGCTTGAGCGACCGCTGAATTTGGGGGGATTGGCAGGAAAAAAGGGGGACAGGCTGAGCCTCATCCCGGCCAGAAATGCACCCTGGGCCCGCTGGGCTGAAATCTGGTTCCTGGAGGAAAAAAATATTCACCCAATTAAGCCTCCAAATGCAGCGGCAGGTTCTGGACATCACGAATTTGGAGATTTTCACTGCAAACGAAGGATGGAGCCCGGGGTCGGTGCCGGGGCTGGAAGTGCCCGGGGAGGAAGCATCGGCCCCATGGCTTTGCAGGGCCGGTCTGGAAACAGCCGCGCTTCCCACCCTGGCTGTTCTCTCCTCCTACACCCGGCCCGAATCCCTCCAGCTCTTCTCCCCTTGCCCCAAATCTCCAAGACGCGAAAGAAGCGAGGGGAGCAAAGCAAAGCGGGTTCTGCTCATCCCCCTGAGCCCGCCGAGCCCGGCCCGGGGGTTCTGCTCTGGGCAGGGATCGTTTCCCAGAGCCCCTCGGCTCCTCTCCTGTCCCTGCGGCGGGACAGCCACGGCCACGCTGCAAATACCGCTTAAATGGAGGAAAAAAATCCTTTAAATTGCGAGGGAAAGACCGCTTAAATCTGGGGCAAAAAATCCCCACTGCTTAAATGAAGAGGGGGAAAAAACTGTCTAAGCGGGGGGGGGAAAAAAAATCCAGAAACCGGTTTAAATAGGAAGGAAACCACAGTTTAAATGAGGCTAAAAGCCCCGCATCAGTGGAGGAGCGGGTGAAGATCCCCGCTCCCAGAGCAATCCTTTTTGTGCCGCTTTGGAATAGCCTTTCCTGGGGCAAAACGCCCCAGATTTACTCCGCAAAGGGGCTGCGAAGCTGGGCCTAACCCACGGCGGCCAAAGTACCGGGAAAACCTATAACATATATTTTTTTTTATGTATATACATATATTCATTTTTTAAAGCTAGGAATAGCCAGGGGCCGAGCCGGACCGAGCAGGGAAGCCGTCGCCACCGTTCCCTTTGGCGAGCAGGAACTTTTTAGGAGCCGAGGATCAGCCCAGGAGTCGGGGGGGGATTTTCCTCCTGGGGATGCGGGAGGCCAGACCCGCTTTGCTCCTCTCAGAAGTCCGAACAAACTTTGGGGAGGTTCCCGGGAGAGAGCGGGGCCGATCCCCCTGCCGCTTTCCCGGGACCCGGGGCCGCATTTCCCAGCCCAAGGATCGTCCCCGGCTCGTTCTGCCCGCTCGGCCGGAGCCCGCATTTCTGCTTGAAGGGTTTCACTCCCCGGTGGCTCAATTAACCGGATTATTGTCTTTCTACAGAGAGAAATCAGCTCGCGTTCGGCTCCAGCCTTGTCCCTACTCACCCCCGCCACCAGCAAATTTAACATAAACCCTTGTAAAAAAAACCCCAACAAACCCCAAACGCCGCCGATTTGTATAAATCGAGCCTATTTGCTCCATAATCTCCTCCAGGAGGGTGGAGAAGGCGAGCACGAGCAGGAATTTATTTTATCTCGTTTATTTTTGTTTCTGCTTCGTAATTTTTCGATCACCTTCCAACATTTTGCGGCGTAAGTTCCCGCACCGCTCTGTATGTACCGACCTCGCGAACGAAAACCCCTCTCGTTCGGCTTTTTTTTTAAGATAACAACCAGGGCAGGGGTTTGGGAAGTGCTTTCCCCAGTATCTCGTGAGCCCTGGAGAAAGGAGATTTGTTGCGTGCCCCGGTAGCATCCCCGAGAGGAGAGGACGGAGGTTTCTCCACGGAGGAGAGAGGCAGGACGAGCACGACAATATTCCCCTCCAAAAAATGTGGGCTGGTAATTTTCGGTTTTGATTAGTTTGTTTTGGTTTAAAAAAAAAAAAAAATTAAATAAAGGGGGAAAAAAACCCCAAACACAGAGAGAGAAAATAGATAGAAAAAGAAAGAAAAAATATCTAAACATCGAGAAAGCTTCTGAGTTTGGGGCAATAAACCCAGAGGAAGGTCCTGCCCTGTGAGAACTGAGGGGGATCAGGGGGGTCTGGGCCGGGGTTCTGTCGGCACAGTCCAACGTTCCTGTTCCGATCCCAGGCCCTCGGGACGGGGAAAAGCCGGACCCGGCTCGGGGGAGACCCTGAGTTCCCTCGGGCAGCCGGGATTAAAATTCACGGGGGTGCAGAGCAAACGTGCCCCACTCGGACCCGAGCCCCTGCACTGGGTTCCCCTGTTCTGAGGGCAATTCCCTTCCTGCCCTGACCTGGCTCTCTTCCTCCCTCTGTCTCAGTGAAAGAAGAAGGGGACCGAGAGATCTCCAGTTCCCGGGACAGTCCACCGGTGCGGCTGAAAAAGCCTCGCAAAGCCCGCACCGCCTTCACCGACCATCAGCTGGCCCAGCTGGAGCGCAGCTTCGAGAGGCAAAAATACCTGAGCGTGCAGGACAGGATGGAACTGGCCGCCTCCCTCAACCTCACCGACACGCAGGTGAAAACGTGGTACCAGAACAGAAGGTAAAAATGCGCCGTTCCCTCCTGCCCACAGCGTCGGGATCCCGCCCTGCTCCCCCTCCCCGGCCGCTCTCCCCCAAACCAGGCAGGGCTTTGCACCCCACAACCACCCTGGCACCAGGACAGGGACGGTGCCCGTCCCCTCCTCGCCTCTCCCGAGGCCTTTTAGCCCAAAGGCAAGGGCAGTAAAGCGATGCCGAGGCAGAGCGGGTGTGGGGCGGGGAGGACAATCTGTGCCCCCAGCCCCGGCAAGGTGGGGAGGCAGGACCGGCCTTCCAGCTCAACACAACAGCATAACACATCGGCCCATTAATAATAGATACCAATTACTGCTTTGGGCATCAATAATTAACACCCTTTACAGTAATTACACAATTATTATTATGATGAATAATTTACTGGTGGAAATAGGTTTAGCGCTTCAGCGACAAATCTGTAAAAGGGCGGTAACGTGGTGGCTTCCGTGGGATTCTCCGGACATCGCCAGCCCCCGCCACTGCCACTGCCACCAAACGAGGGACCCCCGGCTGCCCCCGCCCTGTCCCTCGCTCCAGGGTTTTACCCTCCCTCCCCCTCATTTCCAGCCCCACTTCTCCATCTGCAAAGATCCCCCCACGTCGGGGCTTTGGGGAACTTTAGGGAGGGAGTGGGACAGCATGATCACCCCTCCTGTCCCCAGATTCCCCCTGCAAGGACACGCCGGAGCCGAACCAGCGCTCCCAGCCCCTTCTCCAGCCAGCCCGGGCAGCCGGCGGCGACATCCTGGGGCCAGGACTTGTCCACCAGATCCGGCACACACACACACGCGTGTGTGTATATATATATATGTACATGCTAATACCCATATATACCCATATATACCCATATAAAAATAAATACAGACACAGAAACATATATATGTTTATATTTATATATTTATATCTATCTATCTATCTATATATAGATATATATCTATATCTATCTATCTATATAGATATAGATATATCTATCTATATATCTATATCTATATATAGATATAGATATAGATATATCTATCTATATATCTATAACTAGATATAGATATAGATATAGATATAGATATAGATATAGATATAGATATAGATATAGATATAGATATAGATATAGATATAGATATAGATATAGATATAGATATATCTATCTATATATCTATATCTATATATATATATGCCGCAAACGAATTCCCAGGAGCCTGCCCCACGCCTGTTCCCCCGCGGGACTCCCGCAGCCTCCCGAGCGGCCCGGCCCGGGGAGAGGGTCCCGGAGCCCCGGGCGGTGGAGCGGGGCCCCGCGGCATCCGCAGCATCCGCGCTCAGCTCACGGATCCTCCGTGTCATCCTCGGGTCGTGTGACAACCTGGGATTTACACCCCCCAGGAAGGGACTGAAATGTTTGCCGTCGTTTTTATCGCCGGGATTCGCATCCCGCCGTTGGATCCCAGCCGGGCTGTGGCTCTGGGGCCCCCGGGAAAGCTCCCGGACTGTCGCAGCGGGAACGCCAAGGACATAAACTCCCTTAATGGGGTCTGCATCCCATTCCATCAAATCCCATCCTATCCCGTCCCATTCCGTCCCTGCCGTACAGGGAAGATCGACAGGGTGGGAGCGGGGATGCGCAATGAGAGCAGAGCCGGGGAAGGGGGAATGCAGAGGGTAAAGACAGCTCGGGAGCGGCTTTGGGAGCGTCCCTCCCCTCCTTGACCCCTTCTCTCGACTTGCCCCCTCAGGACCAAGTGGAAAAGGCAGACGGCGGTGGGCCTGGAGCTGCTGGCTGAGGCTGGCAACTATTCAGCCCTCCAGAGGATGTTCCCCTCGCCCTACTTCTACCCGCAGAGTTTGGTCTCCAACCTGGACCCCGGCGCCGCCCTCTACCTGTACCGCGGACCCAGCGCGCCGCCCCCCGCCCTCCAGAGACCCTTGGTGCCCCGCATCCTCATCCACGGACTGCAGGGCGGCAGCGAGCCCCCGCCGCCCCTGCCCCCG